TTCAGCCGCCATTTTGTTTTTCGCTACTAGCAGGATATGAGCTAATATCCTGCTAGTAGAGAACCAATCAGATTGCAGACTACCTCATATCCAGACCTTGTGTATATAATAATACTGGATACCTGATGAAGTATATTGATCCAGTCCTAGGACTGGATAAAAATTAATTCAACTCATTTTAATAGTAAGTAGTGATTTAATTCAGTCCTAGGACTGGATCAAAATGAATTCAACTCATTCTAAATAGTGATTTATTCGTATGAGATATCATTTCAAATCCTAAAATTCGGACTGCACCAGATTTCAAGTCCTCGCATTTTGATCCAGTCTCGGCGTCGCCAAATTGATCAAATTGTGTGGACTTGAAATCTAGTCCAGTCCTCATAGTCGGATTTGAAATATTACGTTGAAATATGGACCTTTCCCCTTATAACTAAAATTTTGATCTAGACAAGTCTAGACAAAAATTTCATCACAGCTTGAAAGAGCATCCCAAATTAGTAATATGCCAAAGTTTCTTTGCGAAATGTTGTAAAATGCGGATAATATAGCCTTGCGAAATTTGCAATTTTCAGTCATTTTGTATTACGCATGGGAAATTGATGCCCCAACACCCGATTGGGCTGTCAATTTCCCATGCGTAATACAAAATGACTGAAAAACGGCAAACTTCGCAAGGCTATATTATCCGGATTTTACAACATTTCGCAACGAAACTTTGGAATGTTACTAATATTGTGATGCTCTTTCAAGCTGTGATGAAATTTTTGTCTAGATCAAAATTTTAGTTATAAGGGGAAAGGTCCATTACGTATAGTCGTCAGAGGAAGCGCCTTTCACCTCTGAGATCGTGGGTTCGATTCTCGCTACGGACTCATGCGGAAAAGAGTCAGTCAACGCTCTGCCGAAAGTCGTGGGTTTTCTCCGGGTGCTCCGGTTTCCTCCCACAGGGCCCGCAAGTAGGCAGGGTGGGTTAGGATAAAAACAAACGCAGTTAGGAAAGTAATATCACAATTGTTGTAAAGATAAATACACGGCTAAAAACGCACAGGTTGTTGCAAGTTGATATCGACAGGCGTGAACAATGTTGTGCGGCCAACTATGAACAAGTTGTGAACCATGTTGTTCCAAGTTGTTACGGTTGAACAATGCTCGGTAACAACATGTTGACAATACTGTTCATAGTGGGCCGCACAACCTTGTTCACGCATGTTGATATCAACTTGCAACAAGTTGTTGATTTTCTCAATTTTTACGCGTGCATGTTGTCTAAAATAAGTTAGTAACATAAGTAGAAGCGTAATACTTGATGTATAATCGGTCACTGAAAAGCCCCAATGGGAAGTGAGCTGCATAATAATGTAATAATGTAATGTAATGCAATGTAATAATTTACAGCAACATGTTACAACTGAACCATGCCGTAACAACATTGTTGACAACTTGTTCTGAGGGTTGCTGCAGAACCTTGTTCAAGCCTGTCGATATATCAACCGAGAATACGTTTTAGTACGCGTGTATAATTATTCACAACTTTGTGAACTAATGTATTCAACCTTCACTGCAAAATTGGGGCTATATTCTTTAACTGTTGAATCGGGTGGGATGCCAAGAAAATCTTGCTATATTCTACAGTACATTACATATGGAAACTCGTGAATGATGAAGACAGCCAACAGGCGACATGTTAATAAATTGTAATCGGATTAACGTGACTGTCCCTGGAGCTGTTTTCATTATTGTAGGCCTACATGAGAATCCAAGTTTCTAATTCTGCCAGCTCGTAAAATTAAGCCATGGCGGCCGCCCCTGGTCAAGCGAAGATGAGAGTTCTCGTGCCCAGGGCCACACTGCAACGAGAGTTTATATTACTGGTCGACTGGATATTACTGATCAAACGATATTACTGGTCAAAACTCTCATTAACTCTCATCAACTCCCATCAACATTTGAACCGACTCAAAAATGATGAGGGTTAATGTGAGAGTCTGAGAGTTTGCGGTCAAACGCTGCAGGCGACTCTCACGCCCGTATTCTAAAAGCTCACTCACACTCAATGAGTGCATGGAAGTTCAATCTGCGCTTCTCTCGAGTGTCATTGCTGTTTTTGAATAGCTGGAGGGTTAGTGTCGTACCTTACAATGTGACTAATTACCCTCTGTTCAAGCTATTCAAAACTGAACAGCATTGACGCACTCAAGAGAAGCTCAGCTTTTAGAATACAGGCGTCATTCTCGTTTGACCGCGAGGCTTTTGAAGTTAGGATGAGTGCTGAACTCAATATATTAGCATTATATTTGAATAGACTACTTAATTAATTTCTAAACATTAAATTTAAATTGCCAAGCATTCTCCCTGTAAATCGACTTATGATACTGTATGCATTAAATTAAATATATATTTAAGTTAAGTTTTGACCTGCCATATTGTAAGCCAATACAAGAGTTATTATACGACTATATACGTAATAAGGGCATATTGCCATTGTATTACGCCAAAAATCCTCCAAAGGTTAATTAAATTCGATATAGCTGTCTCGCCTGACTTTTTCCTTGTAATTTCGTTCCCTTTGTACCTTATATCTCAGTCTTCAATTAATTATGATTAAATGACAAAAAAGTAAAAAGTAACTCACTTTTTGGTTGCAATATCAAAAATTTTGAAAATGTTACTTACCACTTCTGAAAAATATCCTTCTCAGATTTTTTTATTCTTTCTACACGGTCCAAGAGCTAGATTCTTCATAAATTATCTTCAATTCAGTTCGTTGTAATATATATAGTAAGTTAATTCAGTCATCTATATACCAGTTAACCAAAAACTGAAATAACAAATACGTAATAAGCTATACTCGCTATCTCTGTAATCTATATATGTAGTTTTGACTATGAATGAAAGAGGTTGCTATAGCTATCTGAGCGGGGTTTTTTCTTTTTACACTATATGCATATACGGCTCTCTGAAGTGCTTAACTTTGAGTGGGTTATGATTGTCTTACGTTTGAATCTGAAAGTCTTTACAATTTGGTGTAAAGCAAAACCTCTTTCATTATTCCAAGACATGTTTTTCATCCAAAAGTCTGGGTCAAAGTTTGGTTAATTAAACAAACTCTAATAACTTTGATCAAGACATATATATACTTACGAAATACAAAACTGAACGGTAACTCCGAAAGAAACATTTATAATATATACAGTAGTTCTAGCTTTCGACTATGTCAGTTTAGTCATCAGGATCAGGACTATTATACTATAGGTCTAGATTACATAACAACAATACATGTTTATAAGATATTATACATGCAGAAGAGGTTATATATATAGTATTACTTTATTTTAAGGCCTCAAAATACCTCATAATATTTAACAATATTTATTTTATTAATATAATCTCTTCTATATCCTATATTCTATAACTGATAGCGTAGTTCCGTGATTGAGTTCACGTCAGTTATAAAACGTCGAATAGTATAAGAGATTCTTTAAAAAGCAATAAGGACCATTATCATGCAAATCTGTCACTGTAATCTTAGAGTTATGAAATATAAATTGTGATAGTATACAAAATGATAGTATACATCTAAAATATATTTGAGTTATTGTCCAGTGCATCATATATATATAGTGAGTGTTCTTTGTTCTTTTTTTTATATGTACTTACATGAAAAAAGCTATAGCTTCGAGATCGTTCTGTCGCCTAATGCAATTTTATACGCAGTTATAAAGAGGCCTATATACATCGCACTATATACTTGGCACTTTGAATTGATGCTTTGTATTTTGTAACAAATTGAGAATTAGTTTTATATTATATAGAGGTATATTATTGATTTGACGAGAGACACACGCTTCACACGCTGATGATACACAATATTAGAGATGCAGTGACGTGCAAATCTTAGAGTCTGCACGCAAATTTGACGTGATTTGCGCAAAACGGATCAATCTTGGTACTTTATATATAAGTATATATACTTGTGCATGACCTTGCAGCCAAACTTATATAAAGCCATGCGTTTCTTTATATGCAAAGAAAAATGTAAATCTTGAATTTTAACATGGCAGAACGTCTTCGAGAATCAAGACATCTTCGACAACAGCAAATGAAAAACAAAACTCTTGCAGTGCTGTTTGATTGTTCGGGAAAAAAAATTCATTTAATATATCAAAATGGTCACATATGACTTTGGATATAGCAAAATATAATTTTTAAATTTTAGTGTCAGTTAAAACTCATTAGTAATTCACGAGGAAAAGACAACGGAAATCTCTGCCATGTCAGAGGTTTTATACGTGATAAAAGATCATTTATTGTGCCAAACGAGTGCCAAAAATCTCAGAATACCATTTTGTAGAACAAGATTAAAACAATTTTCAGTTCGATTTCAAGGTCCTAAATTTTTTAATTCTCTCCCGGTTGAAATTACAACTGCATCTTCTTCAAGCAGTTTTAAATCGTCATGCATAAAATGTTTATCTTGATCTTTAGACTTAACTGCTTTGATTGATAGTGAATGTTCTAAATATATATATATATATATATATATATATGCACATAATATCTTTATTTTTTCATCTATTTAATTAAAATAATGTAAATATAATTATACCATGAGGGAATCTAAATTCAAAATAAGCTTTTTAGTTTCCATTTTTGGATTTCCTCGCCACTGTATGGCTTGTGATGTTTTGTAAGTTATGTTATGTTATATATGGAAGATTTGTAATTTGTAATTTATAATTATAATAAAAATTAATTAACTTTAGATTTGATTAGACAACGTTCACTTTAAACTACTTCGCCAATGAACTCGATAGGTCATGTCGCGCAAACGTTGCGTTAAATAATTGTATGTATAGGAAAATATAAATTAGAGTGTAAAAGATGCGGATGTTTGTTTTTGCCAAAACTTATAATGAACGGATGGACGAAGATTTGGTTAACGTAAGAAACTAACGCAGTAACCCTCGCTTTTTGGCTGCCAAGCGCGGAAACCTCAGAAATGCGTGCGTAAGTGCTTTGGCTTAGAGACCTTAGCTATTCTTATAAATAGAATTGTAACATGCAGGAAAGGGAGTGTGAGTGGGGAGTTTGAGTCTTTGACTGATTGATTTGAGATTGAACTGGAATTGAATTGATGTATTTTAGACAATTGTTCGATTGTTGTAACGCAATTAGTATAATAAAGAAAATATATGACCGATAGATACAGTCCCTTGATGAAAGGAATTGGGAATTGGCGTGTGCAAACTTCCTTGACTGCAGACTGTGGGTAGAGTTTGCGAAAGTCGTCAGTTTAAGTACTAATTAATACACTGACTGCCAGACACTGTCTTTATCATGCTTTATCACATTTTAGACACTCGGATTTGCTGGTCAGCCTATATATGGCCAGGGGCGGCGCTAACCCTCTTCGAGTGGGGGAGGGGGAGTGATCTTTTGCCGACTGTTGTTTGGTAATTTTGCCGAGTCATTAGCCTATAGTGAGGGTCCTGAAGGGGGGGGGGGGGTCCCAACCCCATTTTCCACCTGAAATTTTGGCAAAATCCCAGTCCCAGTTGGATTTTTATTAGAAATCCCAGTCCGAGTTATTGAAATCCCAGTCAATAAAAAAAACTTTATATATCGGTAGAATAAACAGTTTTAAGACCTTTTAAGCCACCGTGTGTGCAAGTGGCGGACATTTTATGAAATATTAGGGGGGGGGAGGCTCGTGCCGAAGGCACGGAAAATTTTTAAATTTGAATCCCGGAAATGGCATTTGCATCATTCTGAGACACGCATAATCAGAAAACCCAAAATTCCTGTCGGCATCCATTTTGCAGCCCTCGAAAAGTCAAAATCTCGGCATTTCTTAAAATCTGTTCCACGTCTTGGAGCACTATTAATCACGCATTTACGAATCATTGAAATCGGAATATAACTGGAACGTTACCTCCAGCCGGAAAATTCGAAAGTTGGAGCCAAATTTTAACTCCAGACGCGCGAAATTTGATCTTCAAACATCTAACGTATATACACAATATACAATACCCGTCAGTTTTTAAACCTTACACCGTAAAAAATTTGCATTGCTGCATGTGTGGTTTCTTTGATGCATGCTATTCGTGATATTCGGTTTGAATTCAATTATTCAGGAGGTCAATTTTGGTTTCTTCAGTGGTTATCTTTAGCCAATCCAGTTTTGCCGACTGAGATAACAATTTGCCGATTAGCTGACGAGTGGGGGGGTGTTCCACACCCCCCTGTAGCGCCGCCCCTGTATATGGCCATTACGTTGGTATCAGTTGAAGTCATTCTGTCTACTCCAAATGAACGTTTGAAGTAGTTCCCATGCCTCGCCTCCTTAGTTTTTGGTGGCTGGCTACGCCTCAACATTCCACGGCAACCCCACAAAACTAGTGCCTGGACGAGGCTAGTGGGTGACTACCACAAAACCATGACCTGCGTTCCGGAACGCAGGCTCCGGTTCGAGATTGAACCATGACCGTCCAGATCAGATCAGTGTTGACCGTCTGACCCAAAACCATTACATTTTGTCTTACATGAATTATACAGCATATGTTTTTGTGGTTATACTTCATGTTGTTACACTGAAGTATTACACAACAAAATCAACGAAATTGAAAATAGCAAATAATCGCAAATTCTTGGAATTTGGTCGGATAATTTTTAGATTCAGGAATCAAGATTCGACTTCACTTCATAGGCGGTGCACTCTTTACGCCTCTAATTCTAAGGAGACTAAGGTATGTATCTGCCTGTGTTTTATATTATAAATAGACAAATAGTGTGTTGTGGAATATGTAATGATGTAAAATTATCACTTTCTACATCAAAATATTATGTGCATGTGGTCTGATTTTGTTTAATAAGGTCTTTCGATTTCAGTTATGGTTTCGTGTTTTTGTATTGTAACTATTTCCAGGGATTTACAGTAAAATTACCGGATGGGAGGTCCGTATAGAGAAATATTTCTCGAGGTCTTAAAAACGGCCCAAGGCCGAGGAGAAATATTTCTCTATTCGGACCGACCATACCGGTAAATAATATTTTTATTTTTTTAATTCCTCCTCTGGATTTCCCCCAATCACTCATCCCGCACACGAATGAAGCTACCAAATAAAACGTCGTTTCTGTCAATGCTATCGGGAAGAGTAATATCTTTTGTGGGATAGTAAAATTCGCTTTCACGGTGTTCTTCATCGTCTGCAGACATTTTTAATGTTTTAAAAAGTAGCCTTTAAACTCGTCTTTAAATTTTGAAAAATAAAAACATTGGCTCTACAGCTTTAAATCTTGCGCGGTCCATACGGGCTCATACGGACCGCTCACGTAGCCAATCAGATTGCAGAAAAGCGTAAAATATGACTTCGGACCGCAAGAAAAAAATAATATATATTTGTAATTTGTATAATATTGCAGCTGCAGAAAGCCACAAACATTTCAAATAATTTTAAATGCTTCCCTGAAAGTAGAATTTTTTTCCAAGAAATTGAAGAACATACTTTGTGCCCCAAGTGAGATTTTTGTTGCAGAAATAATACTTAAGCATCTTGGTTAATTGCTAACCATACTGACATGTCTAGGATATTAAATAATGTTTCATGGTTTGCCCTGAGCCCTTAAGGGCTGGTTTACACTATTAAAGTTTCTGTGCATGATCACAGTAAGAATTTTGACTTGATCTTAAACACTAATGTTAGTTCCATAGATATCTTATATACACTAGATAGCGCATCTCTTGAAGCCAAGAATATTCCAGCGGTTACCCCCATTTGAATAGATGGCGGCAATGTTGGAGTTTAATTCCCACTTGCTAATAAACACTTAAAAAACAACAATAACTTTCATCATTTGAATAGTTTAAAAATGTATTTGGAATAGGTTTAACTTAATGTTTAAGTTCCCTGTTTAATTAAGAAATAGAAAACATACCAATCTTCTCATTTCATGGGAATACCCTGAGCCTGCAATCACGGTTTCAATTTTTGAATTGCAGAATAATTAGATGCACTATCTGTAGTGTATATAAGGGGTCGTTCAGACTGAGTGCCCGGCACTTGTTTTGGCTCCCAGTTTGAACACGACGCTTTCAAATGAAATTGGGCACAGTGCCCAAGAACGGGCACTACCTCTAGAGGTAGTACTCAACAACGGCACTGTGCTCAACATGTTTTGTGAACCATTTTGAACATTGGGCACCAGTGCCGGGCACTCAGTCTGAACGACCCCTAAGATATCTATGGTTAGTTCCCATCGCAGGTTAGGTTTGGCTAGAAACAATGTCTCGTGGTTTGTCCACACTCAGGAAAATGTTTCCTGTGAGCGTTAAAGCTCAGGCAAGCTAGTGATACTAGTGATTTTATGCAAAGCATTTTACTTGACTTGTATGACTAAATTTACATAGTGCTGTCATGGCTGAAGCCCAGAGTGACAGAATGATATACACACAGTCAATAAAAGTGGGTTCAACGTACAAGAATCCCTGGGGAGATGGCGACATCCCATCAAAGCGTGCAGCCATTTATTTTCTCACCGAGAGTAATTTGAGTAATGTTCCTGGAGAAGAAGTGAGTTGATTTAATTAATAAATGTTTTTAAAAATATGTAGAAAAAACGATGTAATATATTCTCATTATTCTTGCAGGAACTAAACAAGACTCTTCCGGTTCATAAACTATGTCCAGAAGTATCTAGACCCCCAGACAAAGGGATTCGGATCACTTGGATAGGCCACGCTTCAGTCTTAGTCCAATTTGATGGGTACTCTATCTTAGCTGATCCCATTTTTAGCTATCGATGCTCACCCCTTAGCTTTGCTGGGCCAAAGCGATACCGCCCATCTCCTTGCACTGTTGACGAATTGCCTAACATTGATGCAGTCTGCATCAGCCATAATCATTACGACCATCTCGATGTTCAAACCGTTCAGGACTTGAACGTCCGGTTTCCAAACATTAATTGGTTTGTCCCGGCTGGTCTAAAAGACTGGATGAGCCAAACAGGCGTCACCAAGAACGTTAGCGAGTATGAATGGTGGGGTGAAAAAGAAATAAGTAAAACCGCTAACGACAAGACAACAATAATGAAGTTTGTATTTACTCCGACAAAACATTGGTGTAACCGTGGTGTGTTCGACAGAAATCGAGTGTTATGGGGAAGCTGGACTATGATAGGGCCCAGGTATAGGGTATATTTCGGTGGTGACACGGCATATTGTAAAGGATTCAAGGAAATTGGACATAAGTATGGGCCTTTTGACCTGGCTGCAATACCCATAGGTGCTTACGAACCAAGGTGAGCTTTAATTTTACAGGGTGTGTAAAAAAGTCGATAATTTTTGAAAGGGCTACGAAACTGAAGATTTTGCAAAATATGGGTATATTAGGGTCTTTTATTTCTCTAGTAACACTAAAACATTTTTTAAAATCAAATATTCAAGTTTTTTAAAAACACATTAACAGTAGCTCACACACAAGTTTGGAAAGTGTTTTATGAACTATCAAAGTACCAGACAATTTAATGTACATTATTCTCATTAAGTTCACAGCTGAACCTCTTAAACTTGGAATTTTTTCCATTTTAGATTTCCACTCGTATCTTAAAAAACTTAAATCAACTTTTAAAACAACTTTACCAAAAAAAATGGAGTAAATTTTTGCTCATAAATTTGAGTAATTTTACAGCGTGTAGGAAATATATAACACTGCATGTGTGCTGTACTCAGGGTTCGTACGTAGGGTCCTGGAAAACCTGGAAAGTCATGGAATTTCAATATTCCAGAATCCAGGCCTGGAAATGCTGGAAAATCAATTTTAGTCATGGAAAGTCATGGAAAATTGAAATTTTACATAACATCAACAAAGTATTTTACTTATTTCAATTTACCAGTCATAACAATAATATGAATTGTTGTTATATAACGGATTTTTACAAGAGCGAAGTGAATTTTGTTCTTTTATTATATCTGTTATCATTAAAATATTAACGAATTTCAGAAATTCCAGACTTCCAGGTCATGGATTTTGAAAAAAAATGGTCATGGAAAAGTCATGGAATTTTAAAAGGATAAAGTGTACGAACCCTGACTATACTTTCCTTGATAAAAACAGCACAGAAAATTACTTTCCTATTCTAGCGAGCATCTTACTGTAAATAACCGCAGTTTATAGACTATGGCCCTGAAATTAACAGAAAATCATTATTACAGAAAAACGATGGAGAAGCAACACGTGAATCCAGAAGAGGCAGTGAAAATTCACCAAGATGTCAAAGCCAAAAAATCGCTGGGAATTCACTGGGGAACTTTTGTTTTGACTTATGAGGTAATTTGAAGAGAAATAATTTTAACTGAATCAGAAAGTTACTGTGAGGGCTTTATTTGCCTGACACCCAGCATTTCAATAGTCCTATTTCCAGACGCAATTCAATGATCGAAATGTTCTATTATCTTTTCAATATTGGAGGTAACTCCAACCTAACTACTTTTCAATTTCTTCGGGAACCATAGGAACGATAAACATACAATGTCTATCAAGTAACAGACCATATGTACAGCACAATGTCTAATATCAAGTAACAGACTATATGTTGGGCAAACTACCAACACAAAGAAATTTTATATTTTCGATTACAATAGTAAGGATTGCTACATAATACACGTGACTCGTGTCACGTGACTCGTGTTACATTTAAAGTACATCTTAATATTTCAGTTCAGAATTGTTTCCAATAGCTTCTGAAAATTCTTGACAACTTTTTTTTTCCAAAAATGTCATCACTACCATGAAATTGCCCAACTACGAATATGCTCTGTTTTGAGCCATCCTCTTTGCTTGTCCCATGACGTACACATAGTCTGTGATAGAAAAAGATATGATTCATAGAAAATAGAAGGGCTTTGTTTGATGTTGAACTTTACCTCACCGGGCAAAAATCTTTTGTCTCAACTTCATTAAATATTATTCATCGTGGTTGCACGTTTCATCTCAGCTATCCCTATTCATCTCAGCTATCCCTGTTGGACGATAGCTATGTTATACGGAAATACAATGAGCTCAATATCGCCGCGATCGTGCATAAATTAACATAAACTCGGACAAAACATAGCACAATGAATTCAGTTTTACAGTAGTTTCCACTTTCCCGACATCATATCTTGATAGACTATAATTATAAATGTTCCATTTGAATGTTATGTCCATTATCTTTCAGACCTTTTTCCACCGTTCTGTTTTGTGTGAGTCTTGCTCGTTCCCTTTTCCCCCTGCTAGCCATCCAATCATTGGCAACATTTTCAGAACATGCGAGAGTTGATGAGAATTGCAACTCTCCCTCGCGTTTGACTGCCAACTCTCATCAACTCTCATCAAGTCTCATTGACTTTGAACTGGTTCAGATGAGAGTGTTTGCTCGTTTGAGCGATATAATGTCCAGTCAACTCTCATCAACTCTTATGCAACTCTTGTTCTCGTTTGACCGGGCCATGAGAGTTGAGAAAACTCTCACACAAACTCTCGCTTCTCAACTATGATCAACTCTCATGCAACTCTTGTTCTCGTTTGACCGGGGCATGAGAATTGAGAAAACTCTCATGCAAACTTTCGCTTCTGAACTCTCATAAACTCTCATGCAACTCTTGTTCTCGTTTGACCGGGGCATGAGAATTGAGAAAACTCTGATGCAAACTCCCGCTTCTCAACTCTCATCATTGTTTAGGGCGGAATAATACGAGCAACAAAATTATTGCAACTTGCAACAAAAAGTCATTTCAGTGCATGTTAATTAAAAGTGTCCACAGATAAGAAACCAAACATCAGGTAACATTCATAAACGTCTGTACCTAACATGCATTAAAATCTTGTTGCAAATTGCGTCAATTTTGTTGCATATTACTCCACCATTAACCAGTGCTCTACAATGCGATCCGGTAAAAAATAGACTTTAATTCATTGCACACTGAGCACTTTTAATCATTGATTTTTTATTTGTCATTGTGTATTTATTGTAGTATTATTTGGATCCTCCGAAGAAATTGAAGGAAGCTCTATTAGCAGCAGGTATCCCTGAAGAAGACTTCTTTACCCTTGATCATGGTGAATCAAGACTCATTATTCCAGATCCTGAAATGACACCTCGTCTGTAGCTAGGATATATAGAGATAAACTGTATATTAATGCGAACGATAGCTAGAAATGAACACAACTTGAAATACATGTAGATTGTAGTATATTAAATATCATTTGAAAATGTCATAAACATTCTGGTTTACTTTTTCCTTTGATTTTGGACTTTGTCTCTTCGAGGCTTGGCCAATTTTTAATTAGTGATGTACCGATATGGAAATTTATCGATATTACGATAACCGATATTCAAGGGCCAATACCGATATTCTATTTTACTTTGGAATTCACAAAATGACAATTGCCACTGCATTAACTGTAGTCTGTACTTATCATACATGCATGTATACATTGATATAACATCTAAGATATAACATAGTGGGTAAGTCGTAGTGTAAAGTCTGTAAACGTTCAGTACCTTTATAGTCACGATTCAAATCTTAGCTAGTATAAGTTGTTATAACTAATGTGTTATTACCTGTTCTTTATCTGTATTTATATTTAACGTCTTTTTAGGGGTTAGGTGTTAATTGGGACGAGAGTCCTGTTCCTTTCCCCTGTCACGATTTGTCTAATTTGTCTTTAATTAGTTTGTATCGTGTACAAAGTGACAAATTCATTTTAGTATTTTTGCACAAGTGAACATAACAAATCCTTCAAGGTGATTGGTCAAATTTGACGTATTAATCTGTTATATTCACCTACAGCTGAATATAACAAAATCGAAATTTTCAAAATGGCGGCTAGCCGTTTTGTTGAAGTTAGTGATAAAGAAATAAGCGAAATTAAAATGAATTCAGACCAGAAAAACACAAAAAAACTTGTACAAAAATACTAAAACAATTATTCGCCTCAGGCTCGATGATTATCGGGGAATATTCACCTCGACGTCTCGGCAAATATTCCCCGATAAGGCGATAATCACCTCGCCTTCGGCGAATAATTGTTAAATATTATATTTTATTATATGGATATGAGTAAAATACCGTAGAATACGCTACTGATATTTTCCGTATTTCACTATAGTGAAATATATATGAAATCATATCTTACGCGGGAACGTCTCGCGCGGGACCCACGCTGAATTCCCGCCATTTTGCCG